AAGTGCAATGACAATTTGTTCTCATTTTTCAGGTACTTACCCCTCTAATCTTATTCATCAAATTAACTCGGATAAACGAACGATTCGTATCAATTTTTTGTCTTATAGAACAATGAAAAAATAAATCAGTACCAAAAATCGAAGACCGTTTAATATCTAATTTTTTCATTAAATTAACGCGGACAAATGAATAATTTGTATCAATCTTTTTTTCTTTTATAGACAAATCAAAGACTAAATCAGTACCGAAAGCCGGATATTGATCAATACCGTAAATCAGCGTTAGAAAATTATTTGAATGCAATGACAAGTTGTTTTCATCTTGCAGGTACTTACCTCACTAATTTACTCAACAAATTAAGTCGGATAAAAGGAATATTCGTATCAATTTTTATTCTGTTATAAAGAAATTAGAGAAATAGTCCGACAGTACCGAAAATTGAAGGCCGATCAATATTTAATTTATTCATCAAATTAACGCGGATAAATGAACGATTCGTATGAATTTTTTTTTCTTATAGAGAAATGGAGTAAATCAGTCTCCGCAAATCGAATATCGATCAATACCGTAAATCAGTGTGAGAAAATTGTCCAAGTGCAATGACAATTTGTTCTTATTTTTTAGGTACTTACCCCTCTAATTTACTTAACAAATTAACTCGGGTAAACGAACGATTCGTATCAATCTTTTTTGTCTTGTAAAAAAATGAGAAAATAAGTCAGTACAGAAAACCGAAGACTGATCAATACCATAAATCGATGTCAAGAAAATTGTCCAAGTGCAATGACAAGTTGTTTTTATCTTTCAGGTACTTACCCCACTAATTTACTCAACAAATTAAGTCGGATAAAAGAACAATTCGTATCAATTTTTATTCTCTTATAAAGAAATTAGAGAATCAGTCAGTACCGAAAATTGAAGACCGATCAATATTTAAATTATTCATCAAATTAACGCGGGTAAATGAACGATTCGTATGAATTTTTATTTCTTATAGAGAAATGGAGTAAATCAGTACCGAAAATCGAATATCGATCAATACCGTAAATCAGTGTCAGAAAATTGTCCAAGTGCAATGACAATTTGTTTTCACTTTTCAGGTATTAATCCCTCTAATTTACTCAACAAATTAACTCGAATAAACGGATGATTCGTATCAATTTTTTTTGTCTTGTAAAAAAATGAGAAAATAAATCAGTACCGAAAACCGAAGACTGATCAATACCATAAATTGATGTCAAGAAGACTGTCCAAGTGCAATGACAAGTTGTTTTCATCTTTCAGGTACTTACCCCACTAATTTACTCAACAAATTAACTCGAATAAATGAATGATTTGTATCAATTTTTCTTATTTTATAAAGAAATGAGAGAATAAATCAGTACCGAAAATTGAAGACCGATCAATATTTAATTTATTCATCAAATTAACGCGGATAAATGAACGATTCGTATGAATTTTTTTTTCTTGTAGAGAAATGATAGAGTAAATCAGTACCGAAAATGGGATATCGATCAATACCATAAATCAGTGTCAGAAGATTGTCTAAGTGCAATGACAATTCGTTCTCATTTTTCAGGTACTTACTCCTCTAATTTATTCAACAAATTAACTACGTTTTTTTCTTGCAGACATTTAAATGGACAGTTCTCTACAAGTTAGTATTTGATAAAAAAAAGTCTTTCCCGAGTCGAAATATTAATTCTACATTAATCCTGCAAATTGCATTCAATTTGAAAAATCAATGCAGAATATCTAAATGCGCAATAGTGAAAAAGCTTTGTCCTACCTGAACATTACATCTGTCGCTATTGTCGCAGTCTCGCCCATGATGAGTCTTCAACAGCGACATATTCCGCAATTATTTAATATTCGTTTATCTCGATAATATATATGTACTTAATCCTTATATTCTTGATTAATAAATGAGCAATTTTTGTTGATGTTGATTATATATTCGCTTAACAGCGCAAGAAAAAGAACAAAGATAAAATCGTAAATAGAACTGCCTTTGTTAGAACTGCGCGTGAGATAAATATATAAGGATTAAATAATCATATAAGAATTAGAGGAAATGGGGAGATGAAAAACACTTTTTATTCTCATCATTCTTAAAGTTCTTTTTTCCTTTTTTCTTTTCTTTTTTTTCTTTTCTTTTTTCTAATGAGAATGATGAGAATTGTAGCTCTTAAAAGAGCTGAAGCTGCAAAAAGACAACGGTTATGTCTAATAATGCTATTTCACTAATAGAGATTTTAATTCAGATTCGATACAATAAGAAGGATAAACAAGAATGAGAAACGGACATTCTAGCAGATTCTAAACGAAAACAGCAATCTGAACATTATTAGACGAATAAAAATCAACACTTGTAAAATTATATCAGATTCTAAGATCATTATTCATAGTTTTTTAAATTATATGCAATTTTTCATTGAGAACATAATTACAAATTTGTATTCATAAACCTTAGCTTGCCTCAGCAGCATTGCTTGAATAGACATTCATATTTTATGAGAAAAGAAAAGTAGAACTCATGTTACGTGAAATTAGGTTAACGAATAATCAAATCTCAAGCTATTTTATCATTTTTCAGATGATAAACTATGAATGCTGATCTAATTTCGACTCGGGTATGTCCTTACTTCGAATAAGGTCCGTTAAAATCAGAAAAATCCTGCGTAATAATAATGACTCGAGGTACCTCGAATACCATACATGATGTATCGCTGTCCTCGGCTACGTCTCTCGGCGCGCTCCAAGTCCTCTCTCCATCCTGACTTCTCGATCCGACGTCCTCCTTCTGGTTCTGGTCCTTCGTCGCAGCACCCCCGGATACTCCATCGTAGCACTGGCGACGACACTGACTCTAGCTCTAACACTCGCGCAAGTAAGATTCGGAGACAAAGAAACGTGTATTAACCGACACTCGTACTATTAAGCGTCGCGGTATGCGCGTCGTTCGTCGGCCCGAGGCGCAATGTCCTTTCCGCAATCACGGAGTCATATATAAGAGTACGAAAACAAACAATCGGGAAGGCACGGTTACCCCCCACCTGTCGCTGACATTGCCGATCAGTGTTGATGCCTGCGTTGTCCGTTAGCTGAAAATGAAAACAACTCGTGTTTTCAAAGCATGCCTGTGAGAGACTCGCTTCAAACTTCACAATACTTATTTACGTCTGTTCCAAGAATCATATTACGCCAAATTCAAACTGTCTCTATTGACATGACATATACGAGATCTGCGATCGCATCATTGATCTTTCTTTGGACAAGAAAATCCTGAGAGGAATGCTGTTCAAGAATATCACATTTTATGTTTCAGGTGCCTTGCAGATTATAGAATCCGATGTAACAGATCAGGGAAAGTATGAATGCGTCGCTATGAATAACAGCGTGGGCTCGGAGTATTCCAAGTCAATCACGTTATACGTGAAACGTATATTTAATATTATATAAAACTTACCTTTTTAAACAAAAATGTAAAAAAAAGGCGTCGAGTACAAGCGCAACACATATTGTGTTATTTTTAGAAGTATCAAACTCAAATAATTTTTTTATTGTATAATTTGTGATCAACACAATCTGCGCGATGTAAACATTGCGGGCCTCAGCGGCGGTTGAAGCAAGAGAGACTTACCCTTGGGCATTTTTTCTTTTCTCGAAGGTTCCGGGACAACGAGGGGAATGCGAGGAGGCCTTTCAATTGTACGCGACATTGATTTACTATTAATTACTGAAAATAAAGAAAATTATTCTATCGAAGCATCGGATATTTGTTAGCTTTATGTTAATTAAAGAGGAATGTGTACGATTAGAAAATATATTAGCAACTAATTGTACAGAATGTCAAAGTTGTTGTAACGCTGCTTTCGAAGAATAATTAAAGGTCATGGTAGCGTTAAAGAGTGGAATTTCATCTCATGCGAATTTTGTCTCGTTCTAATTAAATGTTAGATTATCCGCTAGGACAATAAATCTTCTACTTTTCATCTAATATTCAATGATAATAAAAATAACATTTAATTGCATTCGTTTGGCTTTTTTTATTTCAAAAATAAAAAAATATATACCAGGGTGAGATTTCACCCATGACAACATCAACGTGATTTTCTTTGATGCTTTTTTTAAAAGTTCCAATATTTCGTCGACTCGCGGGATATTTATAATCGGAGTCTCGTCGCGTTAATTAACATGTGCTTCTCCGAGCGGATCGAATGCTCACCGACGGCCACTGTCAGTGCCACGAGCGAATGTCCGGAGCGGACGGGATGCTGAATTGAGAAGCAGGACGAAGGGAACGGGACGCGGGCAACGATACATCATGCGTCTCCAGACGTATCAAATCGTTTATTATACAGGAGACTTTGATACGGCAACATGTATGTAGAGAATCTAATATTTAATATGTACTTTTATTTTTCCTGCTCCCCCTCCTCCGCTCTTTTTAGACCCTCAGGCATAGTCTGACATAGAGATAGTAAATATGGTTGCAGCACGGACATAAACCGCCTGAAAGTGGATGTTGCACGGACTTCCACCACATGCAAATTTTACCACCAAGACCTAAAAGTGGATGTAGCATCGTAGTTCTCCTCTCAAAATGGATGCAGATGGCGCCCATTTCCAGTGCGAAAAATCGGTGTCGCCGAAAACGACGTGTTAGCCGCTCTCAGCTTCCTCTCTGGTTTTTTTCTGGTAAAATATTCGATATTATTATCGCTCTTCAATTACCTCCGAGCCCCTCGGGGCCTTCTTGTTCAATATAAAGGGCTGACAGTCTTTAGTGTTACTTCGTCGGTGGCGTAGCTGAAGCAGTCGGTATTGTCATCGCTTTTGAATTACCGCCGGACCCTGCGGGGCCTCTCTTTCAATACGAAAATTTATCCAAGGCTGACAATCTTTAATCTCGTCGAAGAGATTGCGCGATTGTTAGACTCGTTCTTTAACGTTTCTTAATGCGGGACTTAGGGAAATTTGAAATGATTAATGTAAATGTAATAAAAATTGCTTTTTATTTCTGTGGTAAATCGAAATCGTCATACAAATCCACAATATGATAGACGAACTATTTTTCTTTTCCAAGTCGTATAGAGCGTAGTATTGACGATGAGTCAGGCGGCGTTTAATTTCAAAATAGTACCATTGAATAATATATCAAAAAAACCTTATATACCTAATGTATCATAAAATCTTATTTTGCTGCAAAATATAATAGAAGGGATATACAGAAAGATGAATCACGGAATTAATAAGTTACCTGTCCCGTTGCAATGAATTTATTATAAATGCAATCACGTGTACAGTGTTATTCGCAATAAGAACGCAACAAAGATGGCTTTTCCTTAAATCGTATTAGTTGCTATTGTAACATACATATTAGAGAATTTTTGTGCCAATAGCGTATTCCGTTTACAGTAAATGTGGAAATTTATAATGCGTCTTTCTTAAATGAATGTTAGTATGAGACTGTTCATAACTATACAATTGTTGTCTTTCTAACCTTTATAACGATTCATCATTGAAAAATATCCCTCAAAAAGTATACATAATATACTATCAACAATTATGTGATTACCATGGTAACAAATTACTTTATATTAAACATATTTCAACATTTACTATAATCGAAGAATGCTATTAAAAAAAACTCCCTATCATGCTGTTCCAGCAATATTGTGATTCATCTTGATTTACAAATTAGACTATTGCGCATCTCCAGACTTCCCGTTCTGAAATTGTTTTCTCTTTGCATAATTCTAACGGGAAAGATAAAATAATAGTAACAATTTTTCAAATGTACACAAAGTTACCAGCATTTTAAGTTCCATGTATTCTATATAACTTTGAAGAAATCTGATAAACCGGAGTTATTTAACAATGAATGATCATCGGACTATACACTTTTTTATTTATTTGGTCCTGACTCTAGAGATTATGTCTAAATGTTGATTGAAACTAATATAATCTCGTCATTGTATTGTTTATTTCAAAGAAATAACTCGCGGTAACTCCGGTTTATGTTAATAAAACTTTTAGAAATCTGAAAATCCCGAAGTATGGGAGTACAAATTTCCAAAGATTAATCGGTCTATACATATCTGATTGTAAAAATTATATTTTGTTAATGGTTCTTGCAATTTATCGTCAGCCGATTGTAAGAATTTCATTTTCGATATCTCTATTAGATTACAGTTTTTTTGCAAAATATAAATAATCTGTTAAATTATATGCGCCAGTTAAATATGTATCGTACGTCTGACAAAATATACGGTACGATATTAAAAATTATAGTTAGAAGATTGATTAGAAGTCCGGTTGTCTGCTCGGTCGAAAAAACGCGAACGCAACTTCCTCGATTTCTGATTTTGTTCCGTTTTGCAATGTTCCGATGAATCAGAGAATCCTTTCATAAAATAAAAGATACGCTTGACTCTGCAACACCGTACTTTCATCCACTTCCGATACTCTACAACAAGAAACAAATATTGAAGATTTATAAATATCAAAGAACAGTTGGATAATGTCGCAAGTGTTACAAGCAACTACATACAATAATTATATTTCGCAATTACTGTACACAATTAAGCTTACCGAGAATCTGATACGTAGTACCACCTTCCAGATGGAGGCTTCACAACGGATGCAGCTTTCGCCGACGCTTCCTCTCCCTCCGACTCTGAATTAGAGCTGTTTGACGATTCATCATCTGTATGCTTATCCTTGGAGAGAAAATGCCAGCGGAGATCGTCCGGTGGTAACGGCAGTCTTGTCTATTTAGTAGCATTTAATATACAAGTCAACAAAACTATTTATGTAGCTACAGAATGTTCTCTCTGAATTTCACAACAATTTTGGTTTGCGGTTTACCTTGACGTAAGCAACGTAGTGACCACCATGAACGTTCCCACTGTGCTCGACGACACCATAAAGTGCGTAAAGTCGAGGTTTCTTGTGACTCTTACAAACCGGTGCCAAGTCCAACAACATCGGGAACGATACGTGTTTGAAAACCTTACGGACGCCAACTCTCTGTGTTTGGAATCTTTTCAGATGTAATATCAACACCGGAGGCACTTGAGAGACGAGATACTGTTTAGTACTCGAAGTGCACACCATCTTCAACGGACCTTCTTGTCCCTGAAAATAAAAGACAGTACAAGATGGTGTTAAATTCGGAATATAAAACGAGTGATGTTGTTGATAATAATACGCAAGGTGAGGTGACGCACGAGATTACTTGTGAACAAATAAGTAAAAAATGTAAAAAGTAATCGAAGATGATTTATCCCCGGCGAATGTATTACCTTTCTTTCACGAGCCGTGCACGCCTCACATACAACTTTATTACTTCCTGTCATTAGCTCCAAAGCAGTGAATTGATTTAAACACGACTCTACAGAACACTCTCCTTCCTTGGTCGAGTATCTGCCGGGAGATTGGTGTCCACCAATTCCCAGCCTGGACATACCAACCATTATATCACCGACTCCGTTACATAAATCCTGTTTCTCAGGATCATCACCATTAGAAGTCTCATTGTTATATTTCCTTCTATTGCATCTCGGTAGAGTGGCTTCCATCCACGCTTCGACATCGTCCAACCTGAAGAAATATTGCTTTAAAGATGCACATGTCCAAATGTTCATAATTTTTAAATGTAAACTTTGGAAAAAATATAGTTAAAAAGTACAAAAAGATTCTGAAGTATTTTCAATGTCAATTTTAAACTTGCAAATTCGGAAAAAGTTCTAAGATCTTAATAAAATAAAAAAAAAAAAGAGAGATTACTCTACACAATACAAAATGTCAACTAACCTCTCCGCAATTTCATCGCCGTTGATAGGACTAGTGGGACTCTCCTTGGAAGCGCCAGAGCTGCTTAAACTCGCGGTAGGCGCCTCTGGGCTTGTAACGTCAGAATTGACGATCAAAGAGGTGGACAGTGCCACGGCAGATGCTTCATTCTCGGAACTGACGATGCCAACGTTCCTATCTACCTTCTCGGATGGCATCCTGATTTGAGTCAAGTCCGTCATCGAAACGTCGGTTGGACTAGGACTAGTTAACGCGTTAATGTTCGCCGGTTGTCTAACTTGTGCAGAGTCGAGGTTGTTGTCCAGGTTACCGTCATCCAGATTGGACATGTCATTCACGTCACTGCTGAGATCATTGCTTGAGTAATGATTGAGGTGATCAGCGGGTGATATGGGACTGGCGACAGCAGATGCCTTCTCCGAGCTGTAACCAGACTCTCCGACCTCAGGATGAAAGTTGTCCACCTCGATGTTGTCCTCCACATCAGCGTCGCTCTCTTCTAGAAGAACCGAAACGTGTATTGAAGAAGATTAAAATACGAGAAGGTGGAACAGATATTTCATCAATATATCAACAAAAAATATTTTTAAAATAAAAAAATAAAATAAAAACAAAAGATTAAAGGCGTTCACAAGGCGTTCCTTCTTTAAGACGCGTCGCGTCGTACATTTAAAAAAGGCCAAACATTACTGTACTACGAATAGGTTTCCCATGTCTGTGGTATCAGAATTGGTAAAGTATGTTGCTTCACGGATAAAAAAGGATTATACCTGACTTCAGAACGCTGTCATTATTTTCTTCCACGGGATTATTCGGCTCCGTTAATATGCTAGAATTATTATGATTCTCATGCCTCTTATTTTTCCGGTTCTTCCTCGCTGCCTTCTTCTCCTTCTTTAGTTGTTTCCAGGACGTATCGGTAGTTTGCCAATCGCGTTGTTGAGTATTCATCGTATCAAATGTATCTTCGAAGCCGCTGTTCTTCCTTCTAACATGTATAAAAATATTTGCCCATCAATTCGCGAATAAAAGCAACATGATTATGTAATTTATGCATTGACTTAAAAGACAGAAAATATTGTTTTTTTTCTTTACTTTAAGATCGGCGGCTGCGGTTTGTCCGGTGTGACGGGTAAACTTAGATCCAGGAAAGGTTCGGTACGCTGCGAAGAGTGATGGCAGTCTAGACACTCCAAGGTGGATACTAAGACGCCCCGAAATACCGCCTCTGGTCCCAAGAGTCGTGTGCTGGCCTGGTAGCCATAAAACTTTATTCGAGACTTCAGACCTTTCTCCACACCGCCTGGGTTGGTTTTTTCGTTTAGACCAACTTCCTTCAGAATTATGCTCTGGTATCTCTATAAAACGAACATTTGAAACTTTAATTTCCTAGGAAGGTCCTCTATAGCATATTATATGTTCAATTATTTTAAGATCTATCTGAGATCAATCTGATCGTGGTTTTCGATAAAAAATAGTTTAAAAAGTGAAAAGGACTGACAGATTTGAAGTTGGGAAAAATGCTTGAAAAAGAAAATATTAAGAATCTTTTTGCTTACTCGAAGATCTTCGTTTCGTACTATTTCCAACAAGTGTCGTAGGAACTCATGTGAGTCGTGCTGACCACCATCCACACACTGCGTAGTCTTTTTCTTAAGTTTGCAAAGAAGATTCGCGGGCGTATATGTCTGATGACCATTGGTATTCTGCATCTTTGACAGGGTTTCACAAAGAACTGACGTGAAACTGCCCCATCGCTCCAAAGTACCTTCAATTGGTGGCTACAAGTTAAATGAAACATGAGCATTGTATGTAGGGTCAAATGCAAGGTCAAAAAATAATACAATCTAGAGGGTAAGTAATCTTCTCTTAGAAAAAAATAATCCTTGTTAAGCAAATAAAAAATAAAATAAATAAACCATGTTCTTATAAATGTACATATATTGTTATAAACTACCAAATAATATCGAATGATTTTCTCTGAACAGTGGAAGATGATTACGATTAAAAAGTTTCTAAACACACCAAATCCACCTCATCCTCAGCATCAGCAAGCTTGTGCTTTCCACCTGGTAAGACAAATTTCTGGCCAGGTAGACGTAGATCATCCAGCACCTTCACCAAATAAGGTGTTTGTGCCAGACATTGGAGCACTGCGTTGAAGAAGCAAGTGTTTCCTAGGTTCGCTAAGCCCTACCCCACAATTAAAAAAAGCACAGTCATTATATAGATAGTTTACTAATATAGTTATTATATATTATATCAGGTATTACAAATTAGAATTAGAAACATACCCCAACTCTAGGAAGATTGTTCAAAGTTTTATGCTTTTCCTTGTCTTGTACATCGACCATCATTTCTTTTTGGCACTGAGTCACAGGCATTTTTGATTGTTGAGGTATATGTGGCATGGTTACACATTTTTTTATAAATTCCACAATTTCAAGAAGCTTTTTCCTATAAAAATAATAAAGCATAAGCTATTGTATTGTGTATATCATCAGGTAATTATACAGAATACCCCCCTCACCTCCGATATCGACGAAAAAATATTTAATCGACGCGTTTTTGCAAGAGAAACAACTTTTCTATTTGAAAAAATCGTCGCTTTGCCTTGTGGAGCGAGATATAAATTGTTAAAGTTAATGACAATTTAGGTTAGGAAATCTATCACGGAGGCGACAGATAAGCAAGATTCCGAATAGGTTAGCAACTTTCCACGCGCAACGAGGACGGGGTGGGTGCAGAAGGGGGGCTGAATGCCCCCCTTGCACCCCCATGTGTGTGTGTGTGTGTACATATGTTGAGACATTTTTATTTATTAAATATATGAATTTGTAGCTCAAGCATTCAAGTCAGTGGTTATTAAAAAAAAAATAACCACTAAACATGACCTAAAAATTTATATGTTTAATAAATGAAAATGTCTAAAACATATGTACACACACACATACACACAGGGGGGATACAAGGCACCCATCCGTCCTCGTTACACATGGAAAGTTGCAAACCCATCCGGAATCTTGCTTCGCATTAAAAAATGTCATTTACCCATAACGTTTTAATAAACAATGACAAAAACCTACAATAGGTTAATCAGTAAGATGTCCTCAATAACGTCAAAATTGAAGTGATTGGAACTGGCTCCCCTATTCTAAATAATTACTTTTTCTGTGTCCATTTTTAATATATTGTACTCATCTTTTTAGTAAGGCGAAGGATTTAAGAGAAAATAAGAGAAGTAGCACACATAGCTGAAATACTAAATGTGAGATAATGTATAAAAATGACAGAAAAATTAAAATAGATATACAGAATATATTTGAAATAAGATGAACAATTTAAATATATATAAAAGTATAAATATAAAATATATAAATATAAAACTAATAGACTTTTTAATTCAGTGTTGGCAGCTACAACTAAGTTTCGAAAATATGGCAATAATATGAATATAAAAAACATTAATGTATGTAGAAAACGGTACTAAAATATGTATATAAGAAACGTGTTTATGTAGTGCTGGTACATGGCTCGTCAGATGTTTCTAGCTGATTTTCGGAAATGAATATTGGAGGATATAATTCCGCGATGACATCGAAGTTTTCAATTCGTTCCAAAGCGCGTTTGAAAAGAAATTCACACAAATATCCTAAGGCATGATATTCTCTAGTACTACCATATCTTGGAATATTTCTGCGAACTTCTCTCCAAACACGCTCTATATGTTGTGTATGCACACCTGCAAATGAAAAAGTTTTTTATACAACACACGTTTTGTTTATTCAAATATTTATATATATATATATTAATAATTTCAAATATATATTAATCATGAAATATTTCTCACCACTTTCAGGATCGACAAAGTTATAAGAGTGGTTTACAGTCAGATGTTGGAAGCCTTCATTGCTTAAGCAATTATAAGACTTCCAACAATCTGATATAATAGTTGTTCTTGGCAAAATCCACTCTTTGACACATGCCAAGAGTGTCTCTTCCGTCCAATCCTGTATGGGAACGATGAAAATCGTCTTCGTGTCTCGTTCATACCCTCCAAAAATCCAAAGACCTCGCAAAAGCCGATCACGATTGTATTTCCTTCTGCCAATTTTTGCTTCATCGATTTCGACTATGCGTCCTGGGCCACCAAGCTTCTTGCTATGCTTGCCAGCCCAAAACACACAGACCTATAAAAATTAATATTATTAATGTTTTGTTACACATATCTTAAAATGTTTGAATTAATATATGAAGATATATTGATGAAGATATATATGCTTACCTCTCGGCAAAAATTGAACCAGTCAACAATCGTGGTCGGTGACGCAACGCCATTTTCATCCTGGGTGTCATCTTGACGTAGAAATCTTAACATTAAAAAACATGCAACAATTTTGCATACTGTTGGTACGTCAAGATTACTGTCTCCGAACCACTGCTTTCGCACTTTTATCTGTATCGCACTATTTTAATACACGTTTCTTATGTACATTTTTTACATAGTACCGTTTTCTACATCGATATATTAATCTTTCTTTATTTAGATTAATATCATTGCCACATTTTGTACACTTAATTGTAGCTGCCAACACACCATGCTGAATTAAAAAATCTATTAGCTTCTCATTACATTCACTCAAATGTCCAAATTGTAAGAAGCTTAACATTGTGCTGAGCTGAATAATATTAATGTTACTACAATTATGTAGCACTTCATTTGTTTTTGCATCGTACATTTCAAATTTCGTGCACTCAAGCATGCGCACGTAGCCACTGAACATGCACGTGACCACAGGGCATGCGCATAACATCGCGGGGCATGTATCTGTCGAAACATTTTGTCAATGTGACAGATTTTCTAACCTAAATTGCCGTCAACTTTAACAATTAATATCTCGCTCCACAAGACAGAGCGATTTTTTCAAATAGAAAAGTTGTTTCTCTTGCAAAAACGCGTCGATTAAATATTTTTTCGTCGATATCGGAAGTGAGGGGGGTATTCTGTATAATTACCTATCATAATTATATCATGTAGCTACAATCACATAATAATTGTACAAGACAGTCTTGCATTGGTCGATATATTAACACTATGACATATGTTCGGAAATGTAAAGAACGACATTCATTCGCATTGCCGCACCATGCATTATTATAGTCATCGAGTCGGGGCTGCGTGGCGGACGGCCTGGCTCCCGTTGGTTTCTCGCAGGCGAGCACACGGTGTTCCCGCCGGCGCCCCGCGCGTAGCCACTAGTGCCATTCGCAGCCGCTACGCGACGCGTTCACCGATTCTACTGCTCGCAGCTAAGATTTGGCCGCCCGGGTGATAAACTGAGCGCGATAGCAAGCAATACGCCTTCGCATGACCCAACGCAAATTGTGGCAATCTCTGGGGTGTCTGGTCTGTGCGCGACTTGTAGCGCCCATCCTTACCCCGACCTGCTTTCTTCTAGGCTTTCCTAATGCAGTTTTGGCGTGTAGTATAGATTCGAACCACCGCAATATACAACTCTCCTAAGTAGAAGGCAGTGTCGATATACTCTGCTGGGTTTGTGAGGCTTTATGGTTAGAATCTACTGTGTTCAGCTGTGAGTTTTCTGCGTTGCCACGAGTCAGGAGCCGGGTTTTGGTCGCCTCCGTATGGAACGGGTGACTCTCTTTCCAAGCGTCCGTCGAGGACCTTGGCTATCAGGAGCGGCATGGCCGTCTCCTTTGGAGTTCTCTCTCTTTTCGAGTAACCGTCCAGGATCTTGGCGATTTGACCAACGATGCGATCGCTTCTGTGAGAACTCTGAGCTCTCGTTCCAAGCGTCCGCAGGACATCGGCTATTCGTCCAGGAGCGACTCAGTTGCCTCCAGCGTGATAGAGCTCAGCACTATCGTGTACTTCGCCACAGTTCTTCGAACCGTGGCATCTTGCTGGCCATTGAGTCCGAAAGGGCAGGCCTTCCGAAACGACGGAGGTCGTTTCACATTCGCGCTCGTAGACATATTTATTACGAGTGTTGCTCGGATTTCTCGGTTCGGATTTACGACCCGAAAAGGCCGACTGAGATCCGAGTCTACTACCATCTCTAACTCCGATCCTTCTGATAAGGGTGTTCCGGCACGGCGGTCCGGTCGAAACAGTGCGGAAGCATCCCGGCCCCCGCCGCAGAGCACCCTCCGGACGGTGTCCCCCAGGAGTTTTAGCCGATGTGAGTCCGGCATAACCCCTGGACCCCTCCAGGGTCCGGGGGTACCCATAAGGGGTTTCTCCTGGGTGATCAAAAAAAAAAAAAGGGTGTTCCGGCATCCCTGCGTCACTGCCTCTAAACAAGAGCTCGGCAAAGTTGACAACTTTCGGTAGATTTTCGAAATCTTCTATCTCCCCTTACCGCGCGACGGATCCAGCAACTGACGGTCGCGGTTCGCGACCTCAGGACCGTTGAGATTATAAAGCGCATCTATGTGGTTAAAAAAAAAACGCATCGGCAATAGTACCTCATGGGTGACAAGGAAACCTATATGTTACCTTCTAATTATAAAAATACAAGAAAAAAATATATATATACTTATACAAGTATATATTTGTACAAGTTTGTACGAAATATTATACATATAGTTGTATCGATACATTTATTTTTTAGCCTTTGAGGTGCGTTAAAGGAGCGCGCTGTCAACGCTAACGCGTTATTTTTTCTATCTTTATCGCTTATTACATGTACAAGGATTGAATGACGCGTTAGCGCTGATCGACGCGCTCCCCGAACGCATCTTTAGTAGGCACCACATAGATGCGCCTTATGATCTCAACGGTCCTGAGGTCGCGAGCCGCGACCGTCAGTTGCTGGATCCGCCGCGCGGTAAGGAGAGATAGAAGGCGTAGCTTCCGAAAATCGGCCAAAAGTTGTAAACTTTGCCGAGCTCTGCTCTAAATTATCTGGCGCGGCAACAACATAACTAACCTGCTACTGGGATGAACTTCAACATCACACTGATAACACCAAACATTCCAATGATAAGTATCCGCCACCATACAGTGGCAATCGCTATGGGGTCTTTTGTAGTGATTGAGAGCATGCTGACCTTCTTCCTTACCACAGCTTAATTCCCCACATTGTAAACAAACCCACAGCAGCCTCGTGATATGCTGAAAATTTCAAGAGAGCATGATGTCTAATTCTGATTTATAAGAATATAACAAACAGTTTATGCCGCTAATACTACCTGCTCATCTCTTTTCTTAAAATCTAACTCCAACTTCTTGCACATGGAACATTCGTCTATACCAGTCTTCTTTATGTTCTTCTTTACTTTCGTCAGGTTAATAGCCTTTGCTATGTGTGGACATTTTGCACCTACTGTGATAGACAATTAGTATTGCATATTAAAATATAAGCCCAACAAGTAATCAATATTATTTATATGTTTTATTTTTATTATATTGGTATAGATAAAGTGTAACCGGTTGGAAAATCGGTGATGCACTTGAGGAGACCTCGACAATCAAAGAATTCAAGTTAGTCTTCTTGGAAGACTAAACACGAGCTACCTAGCGAACGGGCTATTCGAGTGCGAATGTATTCGCGTTTCTAACCTGTGCTCGCCTCCTCGCAAGACTCCGTGGAGGCTTCGCTGACTTCCGCGTTCACGTCCGGTTGTCTGTTTCGCTTTTTGCTCATCTCGCTGCATTAACCGTGGACGGTTACCGTCGTCCGCGTGCGCGTTCTTCTCTTCAACGCGCACTAGGATCACCTTACTCGTCAGCTAATTCCTGACGTTAGCGTGCGTAAAAAAAACATGTGGGAACTTGATACGAGGAACACACACGCCAGCTTGCACCAGAAAGCACGAATCAATGAACATTCGAGGACAACAGCGAGGAAACTGGCGAGGAGCCTGTGAAGATGCGGATTTTAGTGCATTCTAGCGAGAGAAGCTTCAACGCGTTTCTGCTGGGTGAGCGCGGCAAGTTTTTCAGGCGATACCGACGGATTCTGTCTTACCGATTCAACAGTAGTAGCAATGGTATTCAGAGGAGTACTATCGTATTCCCGCCACGAGATGTCACTGAATTTATTTTATGACCGAAATAATAGTACGAATGGATAGTGGCTTCATTTTTAGCGGCACAACGTCGCATCGAGTCGGATGAATAATCATTTTTCGGCAAGGATTAAACAACAAATTAGGTAAATTTGTATCTTAAGCTCGTATTTCTTCAATAATACCTTATGATGCATTCCATATTCATCAAAGTGATATGCGTTTTAACATGTTTATTCGTATAAAATCAATGGATCTAATACTCGCGAGTATTGCAATATTGCAATGATATTGCAATAATGCTGCAAAATTTTCGTTTTTACTACTAAGAAAGCAGAAGTAAAAACACAAGTTCCTTGCGAAGCGAAATTATTCCTAAGATTACTTTGAGAGGGAGAAAAAGAGAGAGGTGGGGGGGAAAGAAAGAGAGAAGATAGATCGAGTTGAATAATTACGTTACACGATTCAACCATCGTAATTATCTCGCGCTAAGACCAGAATTTACTTTAATAAACCCGACGAGGGCAGCATTTCGTATCGCGGATATAATTATTTGCCTTTTGCGAGTCTTACGTGCCTGAAGAGCGCATTTAAGTATATAAAAATGTTCAAGCGTTATTTTCTTGGTTACTATTTTGCGTTACTATTTTGGTACGTAGAAGGATGCAACTTTAATTTATCAATTTTTATAATTCTGTAAAAGAGAAAGAGAGAGAGAGAGATAGAGAAAAAGAGAAGAACTCTCTTCATGACGAAACATGTTAATTCTTTTCTTTTCCGTGTTTCACGATAGCTTCTTGAAAGCTAGCTCAAGCTTTTCGCTCAAGTCGAGAATGATCGAAAGCGCCGACGATCGAAATGTTTCATCCACGCGTGGCATCTCGAACGTCGAATTTTGACCGCAATTTTCACGACTCCTTCCTCCATCGCGAGAAACACGTGGTTTCTGCTTCGCTCATCTCTTTGAGATCGCCAACGATCCAACGCCGCAAATCGATCACATGCCACATTACAAAATTCATACTATTTTAGGCTCAATTACGCGGCACCCTCTAATCAACGACGACCATCGCCGTGGATACTCCGCTCAAGTGGCGACTACGTCGGACTGTATGACCGCCCCTCCTTCGGATCGTTGGATCCGAGGAGGGATGAGCAGCCGTCGACGAGCGCGCTCTGAACTTCGCGGACACCTCGTAGATCCCGTTCGTCGGCTGGCTCGTCGAGGAGCGCGCGCGATTTTCGAGTTCTTCCGTGGGCGTAGGACTCGATGCCAGGACGCGGCCGGAAGGAGCCGTTTCCTTTGCCGAGGACCGACGATTAAGGTAAGTTACTCGCTACCGAGCCCTTTCAACGAGTGTCTCTTGTACCTCCTCCCTTCTCTTTATTTATTCCTCTTCTTCTTTTTTTTTCTATTCTTGTTGTTTCTCCTTACCGATCTGTTCGTACCGCGAACGACCCCGTTTTTCCTCGTCTCTTCGACGATGCGTCGAGTCGTGACGAAAATACCACGGAGGAATCGGCGCTTCTGTCTCACGAGGATACAAGCTGGCGAAGAGCAGAGCGATATAAAATGGAAGTAAATAGCGTTCGTTATCGCGGATTGGTGGTTTCACGGTGCAATTAAACGTCGACAAGCTGAAATTTTCACATTGAATTGTAGTCGGAGAACACACATTTTCTCTCTCGCCGTCCCTTCCCGAAGAAAAATTATTCTTGATAATAGAGATTCAACGAATCTATCATCCGCGTCGATTAAATAGAAAAAGCAAACGATTAACGAGGGAAAGAACTGAGATACGCGTACTATGACTTTCAGAACAACCGCTTTTTATTTTTGTCTAATCATCGCGAGTCATTTTGCCCCAGTGGAAAAATAACGAGTAATTGAGTAATAATCGCGCACTCATCCTCCGATCATTTTCTCCGCTTTAAAGGATAAAAACTCTGACGCGTGTTACGGCGAGGACCTCGACGTCAGTCTCCTCATGTCCAAAGACGCAGATTCTAGAAACGAGTCTTCGCATTATAAACGTTAAAGTCGTTGTTGAACTTTTTATCTAGGTGATATAATGATCAAAGAACGAGGATGTATAAAAGAAAGGGGCAAATAAAGCGACGGCAAGATTTCCGTGCGATTTTTCAAAGTTGCATATCGATGGAGAAACGTTGACGACGTGACGACGCGAGGAACCGTCAGGAGAGAGCCGAGAGAGAGAGAGAGAGAGAGAGAGAGAGAGAGAGAGAGAGAGAGAGAGAGAGAAAGAGAGAGAGAGGGGGGGAGAGGGAGGGAGGGAGGGAGAGAGAGAGAGAAAAGGAAGAGAAGAAAAGACGAAGGTGCAAGTAGGCGTCCCCGGTTGTAGCGCGGAGGCGTTTTCGTCACGACCCGATACGTCGAGGTGGAAGGAAAAGAAGGGAAACTTGGAGTAGACGCCTCTCGCATCTCGACTCTAAAGTTGCCGCGAAGATATAAAGATTGCTGGTTGTCCCGGAATTGTCGATCGCGACCGGGCACACAGAGGACAGAGGGAATTGACGACAGCGGCGACGGAGCCAAACCGCCGCGATTGCGATCGATCGATCGATCGGCGGATCGATCGATCGGTCAGTCGAATGATTTCGGTTCCCGTCGTCTCGTCTCATCTTGCCTCGTCCCGTCTCGTATCGTACCGTATCGTCTCGTCTCGGCTTGTCTCGGCTCGGCGGAAAGCAAAACTTCTTCTTTCTTCGGGAGAAACGCCCGTAATAAGTGATACGTCGTGCGAAGCAATCGTCGCTTCTTCGCAGTCAGTTTTCATTCAAGGTGTCTGACAATGCCGGATGCTAAGGCACTAGCCTTACTACTGACGATCACAACGTAAGCGGTCAGTCAGTTCCGCGGATCATCGGGGAGATAATGATTACAGAACAGACCTGGAGCATGATGCTGGACAGCGATGTCACGAGCATCAGCGAGTGAGTAGCGCTCATCGTTCTCTTCCTTGTTCGCGGGGACGAAGATGTGGTCGCTCACTTGGTCACGCGCCGAACAAATGTCCGTTGTTTGCTTGTCAAATGTGCTTTCCTGCCTTCTCTCTTCGTCTTCTTTCTTCTTCTTTAATTTGTCCCTTGGACGAGTCGCGGGTTACATTTCAAACGAGAAAACACGTCACGGCGTCGTCGTGAGAATATTCTTCTTGGACGTTTCGTAATATTCGCGCAACCGTTTGACAGATCGCGCGCAATCTTCTATATTCGCGGGGTTTTCACTCCCGTGAAGAAGCAAACGTCTTCAAGAAATGTGTTTTATCGCACTATATTTATTATAGAAGATGTGACGCGCATATATATATATATATATATATATATATATATACACACATACATACATATATATAATATATATGTATAAAACTACGCGCTATATAACTGGTTTGATATGGAGGAAATGTGAAAGTTCGCGGTAATTTACGGAGGCTCGATATGCACGCGCCATTAAATTACAACGGCCAAGATTACATTTTTCTCGCATTGCAAAGATCGAGGAGGAAAAGGGGGGAGAGACAGAGAATAAACTCACACTTTTGTATTCCATCTATATTCTCGAGAACCGCGCGAATACGTTTATGCATTTCCTTATAATTGCTCGAGTTTTGTAAATTTCCGATAGGCGCAAATCTCGTCGAGTCCCAAATCAAACATTACGTGACAACGATTTATCATGACCGAACGAAACATGACATTTCGCGCAATCTCGGCAAAACTTGTAGACCTTATCGATCAATCGACCTTGAAATTACGCGGGAAAACGCGACCAAACGGAAGCGAGACCATCCTCGTCCTCCCAGATCGCTCTCGATCGTTTCTCGACGTGTAATCGGCGTATCGCACTTGCCCTCGATCACGTAACAGGTCGAGCATCTCGCCGAGGAAACAATTATGGATCAAGGCGGTGAAGAAACTGACCTCCGAGAGGCTGGGCCGAGAGGGATTGGCGGCGTGGGAGGACCGGAAGTCCAACAACGATCCCGAAGTCGCCGAAGAGAAGGACATCAGTGTGCCCGACGAGAATACCGAGGCTGCCAAAGCGGAACCGGAAACCACTGCTACCGCCGCCACCGCCGTCGCTGCCGCCGCCGCCGCCGCCGCCGCCGCCGCCGCTGGTGCGGAGCAACCCGTGGCCGATGAGGAGGCTCAAACTCAACGCGGTACGAAAGGACCTTTCCACCAAGATCCGAATCGTAAACGAGCAAACGAGTGCGACCTCTCTCTCTCCTTCCTCGGCAAATCAATGAATTAAGCGTTGGAGGAAATAAGAGAGAGAGGAGAGACGGAGATGTATGTGCCTAGGTGAATGTATGTGTAACGGAAGCTGCGAACGTGCGTGGTTTCAGACGTCTTTAAGAAGGGAGTGCTGTACAAGGGGATATTCTGTCCCTCGCTGACCAACAGCTTCCATAGCAAGCAGCTGGAGACATCCTATCTTCATTACTCGAACCGACAGCGGCAGAAGTCTCTGATAATGTTGAATATCGTGGAGCTTGGCTTGAAGGTGAGTACAAGTCTCAGATGGAAAATGAAAGGAAGAAGGGACATTCTGATCAGACAAATGTTATCCACCTTAGAGACCGCGTAATTCTTTCGATTGGCTTGTTTGTTAAACTCGCTCGCTTACGCTCATTGTCGTGACGTAGATTACGTTGACAGCGATCTGGCTGTGGCAACGGGACCCAAACAGCGGCGGTCTCATCGAGTCCCTGTCCTGGGCCGCGTGCTGCATAGCGGCGAATCTGGTGGTCTGCGTGCTCGGCTGGTGGCGTTGCTTTTCTAACAATTACCTATACTGGGCCTCCATATTCACGTGGTTATTAATAAATTCCCAAGGTGAGGCCCCTCGCGACCCGCGTTTCAAGAGTTATCTTTTCTCATAATTAAACCACTCCTACTCGGTTCAAAAGTAAGTACCCAGATTGGTGCAAAAAGTTGGTCGTTTTCCCGCCGAGTTCTATTTCCAGCGAAATTATTTTTACAACTTAATCAATATAATACCGTCGTTATTAGGTATCACAATGATCACGTACCGATTTGAGTTCTCCGCCAAGGGGATTGTCGAGACAGGGAAAGAAGGGAGGAAGGGAAGAGAAAAGAGACGGGAGAATTACCGACGGGAGAAACACGTGCCGAAGCACCGGCTCTGCAGCGGTGCAGATACTTCTCGTATCGATAGATCATTATACCTGGGAGATACGGCGGACACATTTTGCCCGTAGCGTTCCTCTCTTCTTCTCTCATGAAACGATAAAACGACACACCTTTTGCACGTAGAACACACGACCGCGCTCGAGGCCGTACGCCGCGATGGCGATACACAGCGCGCTATTGATTCGACATGGTTGAATCGAACGACGGGGCGTCTTGCTCTGCTGGCCAGCTAAAATCGAGCAAATGCTCGGCGGAGCGTAGAGGCAAAGCAAGAGCACCGAAAGCACCCGGGAGGGATCGTAACGTCGTCGACGACTGCAGCTCCCGACGCCTCGATCCCCGTGACGGAGAACTAACGGCTGACGGCCGTTTATTCTTTCACATCCAATCCCGACGAATTCCTAATTGACTGAGCAACAGTAACTCTCACGCTGATTTAAGTCTAAAGAGCCTCTTTCGACACGCGTGATTCGCGAGCTTCCGCGGAGTTTCGCCCCGACCCTGACGACGCACGACGATATACGAATCGCGTTATGCGAATATGACCGTTTGTAGGTTTCATAGGTGCCGGTCTCAACTTCACCACGCAGCAGAGGCTCATGTGGTACATACTCTTCGTCGTGTACGCGCCATACGCGATGCTGCCCCTACCGCTGCGATGGTGCGTCCTCGCCGGCTACGGAACGGCGCTAACACACTTGGTGATGGCCGGCATAAGTCTCCTGCGAGACTCTACACATGTGAGAGGATATGTGCATCTTCTTTCATATCGCCGCGCGCGAGATCTCGGCGAACGTCTCTACTTTCCATTCTCTAAATTTCTTCGGTTAAGCTCTCACCCGAAAGGCGAGAGGCGAAGGTGACGCTCGAATTCGAGCGACTCCTTGCTCCTCGCCTCGAGTGAGACCTTTCACCTGAGGAAGAAATTTACAGAATATGCAATGTCGACGCGAGCAACAAATTCGTGAGATAAACGCGCGCAAAATTGTCGCAGCTACGGGACGTCGCGTGTATCGTCCGCATGCTGACGACGAACGTGCTGCTATATCTGGCCGTGAACCTGGCCGGCATGTACACCAAGTACCTGACGGATAGGGGACAACGGCAGGCCTTCCTGGAGACGCATCGTTCCATGGAGACGAGGCAGCACACGCAGAACGAGAACAATCGACAGGAGAAGCTGCTGCTCTCAGGTGAATCTCGCGCAAGATCATCGGCGCTGAAGGATTCGCTCGGGAGACTCGCGAGTCTTGTGAACAAAGGTCTCTCTCTGGACCGCGGAGAGAAAACGCGATTAAAGTGCATCGGAACAAGTGCATCGCTTGTATTGTATTGTTCGAGGGATAAACAAACGTTGCGGCATTCTTTGTGCATCGTCTCGTTTCACGTTGTACTATAAATAATGCGAAGCGCGCACGAAGCATGTTATAATTAAAGTCACCTTGCGTTATTATTTTCGCGACAAACAATTTCGCGCAGAGTAGAAAGTTCGGAACACAAGCAGATTTTCAAGATCAACGCGACCTTTGCCCTAAAGCTTGGTCGAGGCTTAGGTATATGTGCACATAAAAAAAAAGGAAAGATTGCAACTGGAGCGTCTTCTGCGTTTTGCTTGTGCGAGAAGTCTTTAGACTTGTGGGCACTTTGTCAACCGTTCAGACAGATCCGAAAATGATTTCAAACAGTCATTAACGTGGACGTGCGTTTACACACCTACGTGCATGTCGCATGTCGCATGATTGTCAGAAAGTCTCTCCCGCTTCCGAAGAGAGAGAGAGAGAGAGAGAGAGAAAGAGAGAAGAGAGACGAGGAGAAGACGCGCGCGGCAGGGCCGCAGGGGCGTAACTAGGCCCTGGTGTATTTATGTAACGACGTGTGCATATTTATTATAACACGCCGCTCGCCGGTCCGTGTAACTTGCTCGGCCGAGTGTCAAAAAGGGTCACTAGACATCTCGCGGCCGATTGCGCCGGACGCACGTTTTTCCGATAGCCTTTTGCATTACGTCGCTGATCCCACCCGATATATCGATCGGCACGGTCGCGACGAAAATATCGCCGTCGAATAGATTACACGAGATTACATAAATACCGCTTTTATGTGCGCGTTATGTGTGACGTTTGTACGCGAAGCAGTGTGCCACTCGCTCTCGTAGCGTACCATGGCATTGTTTGTTTCAGGATACACGCCGCCGGTACACACACGCACCGGCTATATGATTTTCTCAATCTAGAAAGATCAACGTTTGATCTGATTATTCTGGTTGTGAATGCACCAGCAATGTATTAGTTTCGAAAGATCTGGGCGTACTTTATAAGCTTTGTGTACTCTAAACTTTATGTTTTATTTGCGCGCACGTGTGAAGCTTTCAAATGCAGAGACGAACGAGATTTTTACATTCCATTCCAACCTTGACAAACATCAAGTATCACAGTTGCATTTTTAACAGGCAAGCCCGCCAATGTGGATGGTCGATGTTGTTGTGTCGACCAAATTAAGACCAAATGAATGATTCGGTTCGTCCTGATCATTGTTACAGTCCTACCCGATTTCGTCGCCAAGGAAATGATTCGCGACATCGCACGCGAGACCGCTCGAGGAGGAACGATATCCTTCACGCCGAATCAGTTTCACCGGATATACATCCACCGCTACGAGAACGTCAGCATCTTGTTTGCCGATATCAAAGGATTTACGGGTACGATTTTCTATTTCTATATATCGATAGTTTCATATAGAGAGGAATGTCGTGTCCTTAAGGCGAAGATATCATGTTCGCTGTTCGATTTTGAAGCTCTGGCGAGCCAGTGCAGCGCTCAGGAGCTGGTGAAGGTGCTCAACGATCTGTTTGCGCGCTTCGACAAGCTCTCAGCGGAGAATCATTGTCTGCGTATTAAGCTCCTCGGCGACTGCTACTACTGCATCTCCGGCCTGCCGATCGCCAGGAGCGACCACGCACATTGCTGCGTGGAGATGGGTCTACACATGATCAAAGCGATACGTGACGTACGATTCACCACCAAGGTAATGCGCGGAATTTTATCGTATCTGATGGGAAATCGAAAAGAAAAGTGCTGTTTCGCAAGTCTTTTATTTGAATCGACAGGTGGACCTGAACATGAGAATAGGGATCCACAGCGGATCGGTGCTGTGCGGGGTCCTGGGGCTGCGAAAGTGGCAGTTCGACGTGTGGTCGTACGACGTTACGCTCGCGAATCACCTTGAGAGCGGTGGCATACCAGGGTAAACGAAAAAAAAAAAATATATATATATATATGTGTATGTATGTATGTATGCACACGCACGCAAACGTGTGTGTAAATCACCATCACCCGTTCATTTCAAACTCACGTCTATCTCCTGCCAAGAGAAAACCCGAAATACACGCGGAATGCTCGCGTTTCGTGTTGAATGCAAAGAGAGTACATCTAAAACGAGCGAACCGGCTGTGACACGTCAGATGTGTCGTGCCGCGTGCGCGTCGTAATTTCCCAGCGGAATGAGAAATTTCGTTTCAGGAGAGTGCACATATCTGCAGACACGCTCAAGTGCCTAAACGATGTTTACGAGGTGGAGCCCGGCTACGGTAGCGAGCGGGATAACTACTTGAAAGATAGGAATGTGGTGACGTACCTCATCAAACAGGTCGAGCCTCTACGGTCACGACGCAAGTACTCCTCGAGACCAAAGATCTTGGCGGAGGAGGACGCCGCGAACAAGAACAAGAAGAGCTTCAAGATGAACAATGCCCTCGCCGCGAATAGCAACGCGCCCAACGTGGACGATGACATTGGGGTTGACTGGACGCCTGAAATCCCATTCGAAAATGTTAGCATTATAGACGTATAACATAAATATCTCTAATTAGTTGATTAGTTCAGCTGAACTGCAGCTCAACTAAAAAATGGACATATCTTTACTCACTCTCTTCGCGATCGCAGCTGAACACGGCTACGTCGATGAGCAATCTAGAGTCCGAGTATCTGGAGGAGGAGAATGGCACGGCGAAGAGCAAGAGCACCTCGCCAACGCCCGGCGAGAAGAAAGCCGGCCTCGAGACCGCCAGCAACAAGCGCATGAGATCGGCGAACATCAACGCATGGACACTGCGCTACAACGACGAGAGTCTAGAGTCTAAGGTGAGGTTGGACACTCGGACGCATATCATCGTTTGCGTGTTTTACTTGAAATAATGAAGTATATATTATCACAAAGTTATTCACGTATATGTCGTTTTATATATATGTCGTCGTATTGATTGTTTCATCTCGAATCTATTGCACTGCATTGCATTGTTGTGCTGCAGTTTGACCAGTTGCGGGAGGACATGTTCAAGTCCAACATGATATGCTGCTTCGTCATTTGGCTCTTCATCGCCGTCTGCCAGGCCATCATCCTATCTGAGTGAGTCGAATCTCACGTCGTGGAAGACGTTCGGGAAGCGCAACGCCGTATCAATCTCTTCCCCATCAATTCAATGGGGAAAATTGATTTGGCCGTTAAACAAAAGAGAGGCGAAGGTTTTATTAATAATCATCGTTTTTTAATAATCGCAGTTGCATCATTCTTTTGATATCCCTTCTGGTGACAACGGTGATCTTGGTGGCGTCATCAATTCTGGTGATGGCGGAGGAATTCAAGAGCATGCCGACGTACCTGCAACACACGTCGTCCATGCTAGTGCACAACAAGAAACACCGCACAATCTTTATCTGCAGCGTCATCAGCCTGATGGCGTTGACGTCCGTCATCGGTGTGGTGACGTGTCCCATCACGGTGCGCCCTTACCCAGATGTGATGATCCTGGAGCAACATCAGGCATCTACTGCAACTCTGGCTGCTACCACCACAGGCGTGGATCATTATATTCTGACATTCCTCGAAGCAGCTTTGAGCGACGAACCTGCCGAAAGACCAAGGAACGCACGCACCACGGACAATGACACTATGCAAGGAGCTTCCAGTGATGTCGAACTGAAGTCGAAGCTGAAGGAAGTGGTGAACAGACGGGCTTTCGTAAAAAACAGACAGGAGTTTTTCAGGTTTTTACGGTCAGTAAGACCACAAGTTCTTCAGGTCTTCAGTGAAATGTTTAAAAATAACAAAACAAAAAAGGAATAGATTGGGAAGGTAAAAAGCTTTACCTGTAGCATTAAACTATGTGCTTCCTTGAGTTTCGTACGTACGCTGCATTCACTGCTAAAAAACGTCTAAAACGTTTAAAACATCATTAATATGTGTACATACACACGCACACACACACACATACATATATATATATATATTTTTTTTTTTGTTACAGATACGAGCAGCATTACAGAGCGAAAGGCGCGAGGCATTACCGACGAGTCGCACGAATACAGGACGAAGGTGGACCGCAAAGGAAAATCCTCTCTATCGACGAGAAGACTGGAACCAATGAGGAGACGTTGGTACCGAAGAATCTCGAGGACGAACTCGTGGTAGGCGGTTGTATCCGACCCGAGTATATGGTCTTCACGTGGATCCTGTGCCTGATCGCGCTCGCTTCGGCCCTCAAACTATATTACTTGGTGAAGACCGCGCTGGCCGCGGTGATCGTGCTGGTTTACGCGGTGTTGATCCTTGTAGTTTGCAAGGACATGTTCTCCGAGGGAGAGCACAATGTGTAAGTCACATTTCCGTTTGAGAGACTTGCCATCTCTCCTGGAAGAAGATTTCTTCACCTTTTCTCTCTTGAGTTCCAGCTCTCAAAGTTTGATTTAATTTAATTTGATTTTAATTTAATTGAAAAGATACTCGCGTTAAACCATCTCGATCTGTTCCTTTCAGATCGTCGATATCGCTACCAGCACAAATGTTGACGTTTCTGGCGGTTTTTCTCGTGATGGTGACGTACCACGGTAGACTGGTGGAAGTGACGTCGCGTTTGGACTTTCTGTGGAAACAGCAAGCCGAGAGGGAACTCAGTGACATGATCGAGTCGCGGCATAACAATATGCAGTTGTTGAAAAATATTCTACCAGATCACGTGGCGCACCACTTTCTGACGCAGGAACGCGCACCAGAGGTGGAGAGATTCCAGCATTTTCACTCAATTATAATGTTCATACCGTACTACATAATAATGATAATAATATCGAGAAAAATTATAATGATTATTACATTCAGTGTTGTAATAATTTCGGGAGAAAAATATCTTAGTTGCTAATCTATTGACACAGGAGCTGTATTCGCAATCACGAGACAAGGTCGGCGTGATGTTCGCCAGTGTGCCCAACTTTACAGAATTTTACTCGGAGGATGTCAACAAGGGAATGGAGTGCATTCGCTTGCTCAATGAGATTATCGGTATATAGAGACCCATTAATCTATTCAAGCAATTTGATTGATTCGATATCAATACCTATTCACATCTCATCGTTAATTATTTGCAACGCGTAGCTGACTTTGACGAGTTGCTGGACGAGACACCGTTCCAATGTATCGAGAAAATCAAGACGGTCGGCGCCACTTATATGGCCGCGTCAGGACTGAATCCCAGCCAAACCGTAATATACAACATAATACAATAACAATAATAATAATAATAATAATATAATAATAATACGTAAAACTTAGCGTTATATGGCAATATCGTGTGATATTGAACGCGAATCGGCAGCTTCTACTTTTCGTCCATAAATCTCACTTTTAAATCCATCCGCGAATCGATCTGTTCTCGACAAAAATATCGAATAATTAATAAATGTCTCTGTTTAATCAAATGATCGACTCGATGACGGCAGGACAAGAGCGGCGACGATATGGAACATCTGTGTAGACTGGTGGACTACGCGGTAGCCATGCGCCATCGTCTCGAGGACGTGAACGTTCACTCGTTCAACAATTTCGACCTCCGAGTAGGCATCAGTTGCGGCCCCCTCGTGGGAGGTGTGATTGGAGCCCGCAAGCCAGTCTACGATATATGGGGCAATACCGTTAACGAAGCTTCGAGGATGGACTCCACGGGCGTGATGGGCAAAATACAAGTACCGTACGATATCGCCAGGGTATCTATCACAATGAGAGTTCGCACACGATACGTCAAATTTCGAAAGTCTGTTCTCGCCGAAACACACATCGGAGGAGGGAGTCTCTCAGTCTTATCAACAATTTCCATTTTCACATTTCTGCTGTCAAAACGATGGAAAGTCACAATTGAAAAAATGGAAAAAGATTTTGAAATTGGCCTACGCCTATTCTATTTCCCAATGAGAAGAGTTAAATCAAAGAAAATCTCGACCGATCGTAACGGTCAATCATATCTTTCGAACTTTTGACTTTCCCTTTGGATATCGTTCCGTCCAACTCGAGTCATTCGGTCTACATTGATCATCGTACACATGTACAGTTTCTGGAGTCACGGGGCTACCAAACGCAAAAACGCGGACTGATCGAGGTGAAGGGGAAAGGCACGATGGAGACGTACTTCGTGCTGGGTAAGAGCACCCTCCAGCAGGAGGGCATCTCCAGACACAGAAGCACCTGCCGAAGCCTCGCCGCGGTAGTTTACGGAGTGGTACAAGCGCGTCGCAAGCAGATCAGGGCGCTGCGAAGAACGTAGATCGCTCCAGCTTCGTGTCTGGATCAGCGAGGAAGGTTCGTCGTATTCGTCGAATGAAACAGGATATATATCGGGAGGAGGGCATAGTTTTCGAGCAGTTCCCACTAATCGAGTTGGTTATCTCCTTAGCTTCGGTACACTTCCTCTTCGTTAGTTTTTGTTTCGATCGAGTTGACTTGATCTCGTAAAAATCTCCGATTCACTTTGTGAGTGATGTCCGATATTTCACTCACAAATTCGAGTCCCCCTTTTCTCTCTTTCTCTCTCTGCATCTTTTGAAATCAATATGACCGTGAGAAGTAATAACAACTGTCTTCAATTCGGACGGTTCTTACGATTGGACTTTTATAATAGCACTACGATCGATACACCGTTATTAGTACTATTAATATGACGGAGGAGCCACAACATTTCGCATCAAGTCTGACGGAGGTAAGCGCGACGAACGCGGATAATCGAGTATACGGGGAATGTAAAAAGAGCCGTCATCCCCAATTTTATTTCCGTGTCATTTTGTCAATGATGTATTGAATGTACTGTATATAGCACTTATATATAATAAATAATCGGTCTTATAAAGAGAGGAGTCGACTTTTTTTCTTTTACTCAACGTTACCGATCCTGAGTGAGTACGTTGTAATAGATTCGACAAGTTCTCACGAATCAATACTGTTGCTTTTAGGTACAATCAACGAATCATACTTGTCGATATCTTGTGATTACTGTCAACGATTCGCGAATGTTTGAACGATAATGAAAATGTGAGAATTTCATTCGTCGTTAAAAGGCGGCGCGCGTTTAACTGTCAAACTGTTAAATCGCATAAACTGTTTCACAACACAAACAAGAAATAAAATAAATGAATAGTTGCCGTTATTATTGCTGTCAATGTTATCATTATTATTATTATTATGGTAATCGACAGGTGAAAATGTAACACACATAACGCAACACACGTCTGGCTCCGTGTAACCGTATATTACATTATTATGGTAAACACAATATTTATAATCAATATTTATAATCGTAATAATAATCCATGATAATAATGGCAATAATGATAATAATAAGGCTAGTTACAAGGCGGCTCGCCGCAATCCAGCTGAGCCGCCCGCCGCTCTTCGACTGCGCGACGACTGTACACTTTTACAACATACTCGTAATAATAATCTAATTTTACATTAATCATTAGATAATTCATTACAATACGAACCTAGTTAGAAGAATGTCACGACACGTAGGAAGGACCGCGCGCCTTATCCCTCGGATTACACGCATTTTCCTCTCTTTTCCTAATTTGTTAATTAATTAATCGATTATCACACACCGGTACTCAGCAAAAATCTTGCACCCTCCGAAAAACAGGAACAGGATAGCGTCTTGTTCCTCTAAGAAAGAACAAAGAATCTCGACTAACATGACTAACATTTGTTTCTCTCTCTTTTCCCACCACGAAAAATGCTCGAAATTGAGACGTATTATCATCGAATCGCGGATTCGCCACCTTGGACGCCTTGGATGACTACCGCCGAAAACACACGTTATTACTTTCCTTCAAATTTGACTCATCAACACGTCCTATCTTTTCGGAGACGAATGATAATACTTAAAATACATGATTAATTAACGAAACAAAATCTCAGCGATATAAATAATTCCTCCGCTAAAATTACCTACTATGATCTAGTTTCCGAATGTCAAAAATTATACAGTGTATTTAATGGCTTTCCAATTAGGTTTAAAACTTAATTCCGATAACGTGTGTGTATATACATATATCGGTCCGAAATAAATTAGAAATAAAATACGAGAGCGATCGCGCGATTCGCAACCTTCGAGATTCGTCAAAATGCAGTTGTGGACTTTAACGGATTAACAGAGACAATTTTTCACGCCAGGAGTGCGAAGGTTTCGCTCGTACGCGAATGAATATCGACGGTCCGAGGGACGAAAGGACTTGTCTCTTTAAGATACAAAGGCACTCTCTGTACACGTAAAACACACGCTATAGAAGAGCGTTAAAAGAGGCGACCAAGATGCGCTTTTTATCCTTTGGTCTCTCGCCTCTTTCGCGCGCGTCTTTCTTTTCTCTCATTCTCTCATTCTCTCGCTTTCCTCGACAGTAAAACGTGCCCTGTTTAAAAATATCGCTTCGATCTATCTGCCTGTCTGTCTGTCTGTCGTGTTTAAAATTGCCGTAATACGGCGCTTAAAATAGCGGGAGCGGTTTCCTTCGTTTCTAGCTGCATTGGTCGAAACTACTTTTCTCTCTCTCTCTCTCTCTCTCTCTCTTTCTCTCTCTCTCTCTCTCTCTCTCTCTCTATCTGTCTGTCCTTCTTTCTTTCTATCTATCTTTCGTGATTCTAAATTAGTCTAAGCTTTTTTCTTTTTTCTCTTTTTTAAGGAAAATAGATGACTATGATTGGATCGTTGAATGCGCGCGGTAACTATTTATCATTACGAGGGGAACGGTGAGAGAAGGCGGGAAGGACGGGACGGGGAAATGAGGCTAGGGCCAGTAGGAGAGAAATTGCGAGGAGGCGAGAACGATTGGTCAATGCGATCAAAAGTCAAGAAAACGCTCCTGGTAAAGAGGTGGGATATCCGCTTATCACAATTTGGCAGTGAACGTTTTCACGTTGTTGAGAAATACAGCTTACAACGTGTGTTGCCATCTTCGAAAGCTATACACATGTAGTATACTGACTGCTAACTAAACCGGCTCGCTATTAATTAATAACGCTACACTCCTCTCTTACGCTCTTTTATACAGATTTCCTTTCGCGCACGTCTCTGCATCTTGGAGGAGAACGGACGCCAATGTGCGAATTCTTTTCAGGGCTTCTCCGAGGTTCTACAGAGACCTTACGCGTTAAAAAGCTAAAAATATGACCGTCGACATCGACATACTTGATCCATTAGCACTTTGACACTCTGCCATGTCATTCGTATTCGAGTAAATACAATCATTATGCGTGAAGTTTGTCTTCGCGGTAGACGAAAGTTGGAATGAGAAGAAGAGACGTTTGAGTTTCGTATCGTCTGTATTATTATACAATTGTATAGACTTGTACGGAGGAGTATTAACATCAGACAAGAGATCAAGCATTGAACACGTAATGGATGATGAAAACTGGATGTAATTACAATCCTTTCATCGATTGACATCTCGCTTGAGGTAATCTCTAGCTCTGGTATATACCTTTAACCACACCTATGGCGACCAAAGAATTCGAGCCACCCTCGAATTCAGGTGTGACGGTTAAAGTGCTAAAGGACCTGAATTCTCAAGCCAGGCCAAGCTCGACGAAATGGTTCAACGTGAAAATTCAAAGGCCCCCGCTGATCGAGAGGGAGAACGCTGAACAAAAGCACAATTTGTCGTCCGTCCGTCTCCCGCCATGCGGTCCACACACGTACAGGTGGATTGAGATTGAGAAAAATATTACTTCGCTATGTTATTCCATCCGCCGCCACGGACCAAAAATAAGTTCTCGCGTCTGCTCGGTTTTACAACTCGATTAGCGTGTACAACTTAAATTAGTAGTAGTTTATAGCGAAAATATGCATTTTTCTCCCCATTTTCTTGCTCCCCGTATTCTCTTCGTATCTTCTTCTTCTTCTTCTTCTTCTTCTTCTGCTTCTTCGACCTTTCCCTCCTACTTAATCCTCCACGGAGAGAGATCACTCCCGGGAAGAAATGCCCGCTTAATTCGCATTAGGGATAAATCTCACTTTGTCAATTGCTATTGCGAAATCATATTGGTCCATGGAGGATTAACGATCGTTTTGTGTCTTGTCGAAACGACGATAATCGCGGGGCACGCGGGAGTCCTTTACAGAGGTATCGCTCGACTCTGCTGGACTCGCCGAGGTATCAAACAAAAGCTCGCGCGCGCGCGAGAACCTTTTACCTCTGAATTCGCCTAGTCCTTCGCGTGCTGTGTTACATTAAATATATATTTAATGTAACACATATATATATATATATATATATATATATATATATATTCATTTATATATATTCGGATGTTTATATATTTATAATATGTATAATATAATTTACGAACGTGTTTATAGCGTTACAATCGAAGATGTCGAGTCAGTTCGAAACGCCGGCGGAATACAGACACTTTCCTCCGTCGGCATCGTGCAATCGTTGAGATCATAGCGTACGTGTTTCTTTTTCTTTATGCATTTAAAATACGAGAGAAACGTGTAAGGACACGTTTGTCCACCTGACGCTGCCTGCTCGTGGATTCTGTCGTCGTCGTATCTATTTCTTACTCTCTCTCCTTTTCCACCTTTATCGCACTTGTCTCGAAAATGTCGCGTGTACGTATGCGTATCTGTACGTGTGTTCGTGCATATGTGCTGGTCGTCGTCGTCATCATACGTTTCTGTACATGCTTGTAGAAAATATGGACCGAGACCGATGTAACTCTGGCGTGTTCAATTTCCAACGCGTGCAGGCGCGAGAAAATATCACTCGTATCACTGAAAAGTTCCAAATCTTTTCCCCTTTTACGCGACGATCAAACTTGCATGTTAGTTCGCCTGAAAATTCTCTCAATACGAATCGAGAGATGTTTCCAGAAAATTATCAAAAACACCAAGAAATTTCGATGTAATCATTATAAGCTTATAACGAAAGAATATCAAAATCAAAACAGAGATCAGTAGAGATTTTCTCATCGACATAATTTGCATTTTCCCGTAATCGAACGACAATATGATGTCGACAGACGATTCGCAGTAAATCCGAATTCGGCAAAGTTACAGCGGTATCTCGGCCCCTGATAGAAAATAAAAGAAAAACGTCGCTCGTTTTTCCTTTCTCCCCTTTCGTGTCTTTTTTTTTTCTTTTTCGGCTTTTCCCCTCCTTTATCGTTCGTTTATTTAATTCGTCGAAACTATTCGCACGATGCTGGAATTCTAGCGCATCTAGGATATTCAAAAATACATCGCTTCTTTCTCTCTTCCCTTTCGCCGATGATCTCCTCTTTCTGTCTTTCACGTGACGCGAAGAGCTAACTACTTTGTTTCTCTACCTACCTCTCCCCCACGTGTCGCGCTTGCGAAAATAATTATCCCCTCATTCGTCATCGCAAGGGGTGAGGGGTAGGAGAGAGGATGAGAAGAGTCGAGAATGAAAAGCGGTCCGTGTCGGCCGAGACGAGAGACAAGTCCGGATCGGCCGATTTCGACTGGCGAGAGTCAATAAGTTGGCTTCAGTTAAATAGATCATTCAGTTAAATAGAATCATTTATCCCTCCCTGAACTGTGTATCAAAGATATAGCGTGGATATGATATCACTACGGAAAAGCGAACGGAGAATCAGCCGATCCGGACCGATCGGTGTAAAGACGCGTGCAGAGTGCGCGGCGGTTCTCGCGAGATATGATTCGCACGACGACCAGAGTCCAGTCTCTCTCTCAAATTCGGAATAAAAGTATTTCAAACTTGTGCAAATGTATTAAAAGGGCAGTAGTTTCCGAGTTTAAAGCAAAATTAAAGAAAGTTACTTTTTACATGTAACAATCTTCGAAAATTGGACGGCGTGATCTCTTTCAAAGGGAAAGAAGGAACGGCCGAGATGGAAGCCCTAGCACAGTGCGCAAATTTCGTTAGATAAGGTCACCACTTTATCACACGTTATAGTTTCGGGCGCAGAGGCATTCCTCATTTAGCTCACGTTAATATTTATCAAGACCGTACACACACACACACATACATACATACATACACACACACACATACACACACACACACGTCCATTCGCTTTCAAATACAAGAGAGATATCCGAACTTTCTCTCGCGTTTTCAATCTCGCTCACCCTGCACATGTCGATACGCGATTCAATCACGGCGGACGAGTCTCACTCTCGATTCCCGAGTCTCTCATTACGTTAATATACAAGGTGGCGGTACGGTAATCGCTCTGGCACGTTGTGTCCTTCGACTAAAGAGCGCCGAAGTCAATTGACGAGATTGAGTGAAGGTACGTTTGTTTTCTTAAAATACGATTACCTGATCAGAAGCTCTCTCTCATTCTCTTCTCTGTTCCTCTCCCTTTCTCTCTCTCTCTCTCTCTCTCTCTCTCTCTCTCTCTCTCTCTCTCTCTCTCTCTCTCTCTCTCTCTCTCTCTCTCTCTTCCTCTCTGTGTCTCTAACCTTTTCTCTACATGCTTTCTTTTGCATCATCGCTCTGCGAGCGTCTCCCCGCCAGACCTCTCAAGGATCACTGACGCGGATCACGAATTTCTTTTCCACGCACGCGGAAAGAAGTCGACGTCGCTGAACAGCGCGACACAATTTAGAAGAGTACTTTAAAGCTGCACTTAAACAATAAATTAGACTTGTATAAATTTCACTAGACATCGAAGAGAGATTTCGTCGAATGTGACACATGCGTCTTTTTCACGTCAATACTTCATCGCGGATGCGTCATTTCGAGATAAAAAATTCCGCGCGCGAAAGGAGGCTCTCTGAGAACTCGATTCTCATAAAAACAATGATCAAATTTTCACGCGCTCAATTTCCATCCTATGCGACTGAGAGATTAACTCTCCGTTGGTCGCAATATTTCTCACTCATCAATGGTCACAATATATCTCGCAGATACACCAATTTTTCCATAATTCTCTTTTGCTTCTACAAACAGTTTTTTCTTTCATTAGCATTTGACCATAGACCAGACACTAAAGTGCATAAAAAAAATAGTGAAGAGCAAATCGGCAAATACTAGGATGGATGAAAAATTTTGAAGCCGTATAGCAATGACGTTCTCTATTGAGTACTGCGACTAACTGGAGAGTTAAACTTTCGAGGACGAGAGATAACATACGATTGGCAGTAAAAATCGTTCTATGATCCAATAACACCCCCCCGTTAATCCGCCTCCCCCCTTTGCCCCTCTTCTTCTCTCATAATCTTGACGCCAACTTGTATACAAAAAATGTACAAATAGTTTGAGCAGTTTTGCGTCTCGGCAGTTGCCTGCGCGCGTATTCCTAATGATTAATCAACGATTGTTTGTCGGCGATTCTCACACACGTATACAGAGCGAACAGATCCTCTCTTTTCCTTCCTTCTTTCTTTCTTTTTCACACTTGCGCTCGCTCTCCTTTTCTCTTACTCTCAATGATTTCTTCCAAGTGGCAGTGAATCACATTATCTTCGTCGCGCGCGTGTAGTCTTGTACTTCGTCACGTTACAGAACTAATCACGTAGATTAAAAAACAAGGAGCGAAGAAATAATAATTTTTATAAAATAAATATCGCGTTGCGTTTGTCGTATAGTGTGTGTTCTAAGCTATATCGAATCACAAAGGATTGCTTAATGATCACGACGATAACGAAGAACAACCGGCGAAACAAACACGGGCAGCAACCCCGATCAGTCGAGAGCGCGAACGCGGGAAACGAAAATTGTAGCATAGCGAGCCTCTCGTGTCCCTCTTTTCCCTTCGTATCCTACTTTTTTTTTATTCGCTCTCACGCACGTCCTTCTCCCCCCGACACAGTTTTCCCTCTTCAATTCTTCTCACTACAATACCCGAGAGCTATACGGATACAAATATCGTGATCGCCGTCGCGTATTTACAAGGCGGGAAGGGGGAGAATCCACGGTGACCACTTCACGACGATCTCTAGAAAGTAGCGAGCTAACGAGATTTTTCTTTTTGTACAAACGGCGCTAACTAATTCCGCGGCGCGCGAGACGCGAGCCACGTTCTCGGAATTGCTTCTCGAACACGAGGGATCCCTCCCACCTCTTCACGCCGGGGTTCAACTCGAGGCTGCTCTGCTCGATAGCCGCCACACTGTGCACACTGTTTTTCGTAACAATCTCGAGTTCACTTCGGATGCATAGGTGCGCACCGTGCCGCAGACTCTCGCACACAGATCGACAAAAGTGCGCACGCAACTCTACAGAATAGTACACAGAATAAATGAAGCGAGAAATAGCGTCCAAAGGTTCACTTACGTATTCTCACAACACGAATCGCGCTCACACGAAGAGTTTCGAATACGAGAGGCAGACTCGATAAATGTTCAATATTTGGCTAAGCTGTCCCAATATGTACGAGTCCGTATATTTCCGCAGAATATACGACTTTTAATATGTAATTGCCAATTTTGCAATTATCAACGTCGATATTATATGGAACATTTCGGTTGGTTTCGGGCGCACTTACGTCTCTATGCGTGCCAACAGTCTGTGCTGTAGTGCGCGAAGTAGAATGCACTCCCGAATACGTGTTTCTCCCGCGTACGTAATGTAAATTCTAATCAAGATTTCACGTCCACAAACGTGGATTAATTCGTCCCGTGATTACTTTGCACAGGCTAAAACACTTCACAGTTTCATGTCTCAGCCGAGTTGTACGGAGTTATCACCTAACCTATCTACAGGAGCCACCGAGTCGACCCCGGCTCGTTTAGAGTAGCTCTCAGGTACACGGATAATGCTTATCGTAAGAAGAAGTGTCTTGTCGCAACTCGTCGACCGGAACACAGAATTCGCACTGCCCGGGCCGTCACTGCGACAACGTGCCCAGAAAGTCCAAATATCTGTGCTGCATGTAACCTCAGGAGGACTGCGCGTTGGACTGCGTAGATAACGCCGTCGAAGCAGAAGTCGACGGCGACGTATGCAGAGTAAAGCCATCATAGACGTCCATGAGTTCACGCATACGATATTCCTCGAGACACACGAATCCTTCCAAGGACGGTGACTGTTTCCTCGCACAATCCATGCAATGCACAACGTGCCGTTTCTCCTGCTCCCGGATAAATAAAATGTTGAACACTTCAATCTGCAAAAAGAGGAGAGCGAACGCTTCGTTTTAATAGACGCGCGCAAAGAATACATAGAAAAAAACGGGTACAAGTAGAAAACAATATTGTTATTGGTGTAACGCTATTCGCTATATAGCGAATAGAGCAAAGAAGACTGAATCTCACAACCGTACCTCACACTGTCCGCAATAATGCGAAGCCTCGTTCTTGGCTCGGCCGTGGAAGCGCACTTCCACACCCTTGCTCTTCACAAAGTCCAGTATAAGACAGCATTGTCGCATGGTTCTCAGCAAGCAATTCTTGATCAGCTCGAACAGACGCGGATCCGATACCTTGATATTGCGCGCCAGATTCCACGACAGATGTACCATCGGTACGATGGACTTGAATGACTGGAGCTTGTTCCACTCGTAGCGCTCGATAGCGAGCTGATACTGCCTCGCTGTGAGTGGGCCGACGTTCCATGCGATATTGTTGCACCAGCCAACCGCCTGCACCCAATGTACACAGCCCGCATTCACCCAGACCAAGTCACCCGGCCGTTGCACGAACCTGTACAATGGAATATTCTCCTCATACAGATCCTCCAGAGACGGCCACCAGCTGCCGTGCAGGTAATTGATGCCGTTGCGCTCGCATAACGAGCATATGACACCCCAGTAGGCATCAGGCACGGCGAACCATTCGCAATCTCCCGGCCCGATATTGATGTTGATGGAGCAGAAATTGTTGTTCTCCTGATGACCGGGTGTCCTGCTACCGGGTACCTGTCATCACATGATGATCGTGAATTACGACAGACAACACACGGGGACGCATGCACCTCGAGATGGAGCAAAGTTTGGTGAAAGTTGGAAACCACCAAACACAAAGAAGCACGATGGTAGATATTATAATATTATGTGGAAAATGAGGAAAGTTCAATCACCTTCATATACAACTGTACAGTATTCATTCCTAGAATCACATGGCCCACATGACTGAGCATGTTGCCAGCCGATACGACTCTAGCGAAGGCAGGTAGCTTCATCAGCTCCTGAAGCTGCGGTTTCCACTTCCTGTCGTCCGAGAGGTCAACATTCGTGCCGAAACGCAACATCTTCGAACCCTGCCGACCTGCCAGACCAACGGCGTTCTTCTTGCGTTTCGTGATTTGACCCGTGCTATCTTTCGAGTCGGAATCAGACAGGTTGGACGTATGAACGCCCTGCGACTTCTCGCGTTCCTCCTTCAAACTTTCTTGGAAACTACTGGCCTGATACTGCGCGTATTTCGCGATAGTGGTGTGACTGCGATGACTGATGCAGTTCCACACCTTCTTAGTGAACTGCTGATCCCAGTTCTCGTCGCTCGGTTGCTGCATTTGAGTGCGCACCTCGATACCGTGGTCCGGATTCGCCTCCACCAAAGTCTTGGTCGAGAACAGACCCAGATCCAGCTTAAGAGCAGCGGCAAGTCCGCGCACCACGGCGATCGGATGCTTCAAGCAAAACTCTTGCAGCTGCGGACTGAACGCGCACTTCTTGTTCTCCAGGTAAACGCTGGGCGTGGGTGGCAGCAGCTGCTCCTTCGTCAATCGTTGACTCGGCGGATCCGGCGGGGCCGGTGGCGGCGAACGGTCGCTCAATATCGAGCAATTCGGCACGCCGTTCACCCCCTGGCCGCGACACGCCTCTACGATCACCTTCGCGTCCATATCGATGTTCAGCTCCAGTTCCGGCTGCGATTCGCAGAGGCTCTCGAGCTTCAGCACCGGCTCTGTTTTCGGAGTCGATTCGCTGTTCCTGCTCGCGCTCGTCTGCTCGCATTTTACCGTTTCCACCGACGGCGTTGACGGCGTTGGCGGTACCGAAAGCGTTGGCGGCTTCACGTCATTCGTTTCGTACGCCTCTGCTGCCACCTTCGACGACGGCTGAACCTCCTCGGGTTTCTCCAATTTCACCACGTCTTTCGCCTTGTCCACATTGTCCTCAAGATTCGACGGCGAAAACGGACCTGTTGGGACAAAATGTGTGCTTTGTTGCGAAAATATAACGTGCGCGATTTGGAGAATAAAAAAATCTTTCTCACAAAACAAGAAGGAAAGAGGGGGGAGGAAGGTTGTGACTGATGATTCTTTAATAAATTAATCTTACTCTTTTTTATTCACATACCGGAACTGAGAGCGCCATTGTTGTTCATAATGCTGGCTGGCGGCTCTTCCTTCACGTCCAGATCCTCCGAGCCAAAATGCTTGAGCAAGTCCTCCGCCAACGACGTAGCAATGTCCTTCTGCGAGAGCAGCGCCTGCAGCTCCTGGTCTGTGACGCCTAAGTCCTTATTCGCCGCTGAGCCCTCTGGATAGCTACTTGTCGTCGATGAGATTTGCGTGTAGCCCTGAGCGGCGTATTGACTTGGCTGATACTGGCCATACTGTGCGCCGCCGCTGATTTGCCGTTGAGGCTGAGGTTGAGGATAATTTGGATCCGACGCAGATTTGTAAGGCATACCTGGTGTCTGCGTGTTCCCGGTTGCTGCCGTGCTGTAGCCAACATTAGAGTCGGAGAAGCCGGTTTGCAACGCAACTGTGCCTCCTTGCTGCAACTGCAAGTCCCGGTGAGTTTTAACGCATTTCTTCACTTTGATCTAATGAGGTGAAATCAACGTTTAAAAAAAAATGCACTAAACGCTAACCGGAAGATGCGAAGAACCTCCTCTGTTCCCGCCGTTATGGATAACAACAATAAATATTCGACAATAAATATTGTCAATTCTGAATATTTGCTGGATATTCGCAAGAGATAACGCGAAGTGTGCCTGACAAAAGCAAATATGTCCAGATTTGAACAAAATACAAAATAAAGATTTAAGAAAAAATTTTAATGAAAATTAAAAAACCGCAGACTCTATTTAAAATTTGGCGATTATCAATTATAGTCAATTCACGTTTGAAAGTAATTGCAAGACCGGCCCCGGCAACGGTCGTCCTATGACCGTCCTTCCGATGTAAATATTGAAACATTTAGTCCGCGGCTGACGTGTTCGCCACAATCGTCAATGTCGATCGTGACACATCCCGCAAGATACGCGTTAATACAAATTCTATAAATATAAAAATGTCATACCGGTTGCTGCGGAATCCCGTAATTCTTTATAACGCCAGCCTGGCCGCTGATTTGAGGATGACCGTAACCTGCGGCGGGATAGCCGGGCTGACCGGGCCTGATGGTCCGTTGCATCGTATGTTGCAGCTTGACCTGCTGCTGATGTTGTTGCATCGTCCGGTATTGGTGCTGCAGCTGAGCCAACAAGATCTGCTGCTGCGGCGACAGATTGCCGTGATTCTGCTGCAGAAGATGTAGCGTCTGGATCTGCTGCGGCGACATGTAAAACGGCGGCGGCCGTTGCGGCGCGCTCGCTGATATTGCCTCCTCGCCCGGCTGTATCATCGGAAAACAAAGGAAAAAAAAACATTCCGGTTAGAGCTGCGATCGAACAGCACCACCTTTTGCAGGAATCAGGAAATTATATCGCGTTCTCTGTCTTGTGTATTTCTATCCACAGAAGATAGGTCGAATGATATTACTCGCTGTATAGTCTCGCTATATAGTCTCACGAACGTACCTTAAAACGCTTAGTTTGAGCCTGGGCCTGAGGGTAAGGTGGCGGTGGACCGGAAGGTGCGGTGCCGTATTTGTAGGAGGGCCCACCCGGTGCTTGCTGTTGTTGCTGTTGCCGACTGGACATCTCCGCGCTAATCGGCAAATTCCAGGCCTCTTCGATCGGCGGCAATTGCCGCCTCCTGTTCGATAATACACAATGTTATTGTATCGCTGTTAGCAACTCACGGCTCGTTCCTACATGTAACATTCGAGTCGAACGTCTGATCGAATGAGAATCTGACAAGGAGGGAGGGAGGGAGGGGGGGGAGAGAGAGAGAGAGAGAGAGAGAGGGGGGGTGATGTGGAAGACGCGCGTCGTGCGAAAGAAACATAATGTATGTGAACTTTTGTTTGCCGCGCGTGTTGTTCGTTCACGAACGAAAACTTGTTAGCGACCTATTGAACGCTTCTTTCCGTTTGATTTGTATCGAATCAGTCACAATTGATACATGTGATTTTAAGTAGACGTTTTCTGTATGTAATCCTCAGTTTTTTTAGCTGCCCACGCCTTTGAGAAAGTGGTTTGAAGAAACGAAAGCATCGTATTGAAAACTCACGGAAATAGGCGACAATGAAGCAGCAAAGAGCCCTTACTTTTACGTGTTTGTTCCGCGAACAAATGATATCCTCCTCCATCTGTCCGGACCCCGTGCGAGGTCCGACGATTGGTACAACATGCCGCGTACAAGAAATGCCTCATCGGTAAACGGCTCTCATCACGGGAGAACGAGAGAGACCGCGTAACAAAACACGTATTCGACGCCGACGTGGCGTATACTCACTTGGCAGCGACGGAAGGCATTGGTGCTTGACTTAGGTGATTCTGCAGAAAGTTGATGCGCTGTTGAAGGGACGGGTTCATCGGAGTGTTGCCACCGGACTTGACGCCACCTAGACCCACCAGTGGACCTGAGCAATTCGCCGTGTTGCTGTTACCCCTGCGCGTGCAGCAAGCAGGACAGAAAGAAGAGTTCTCGTCAAGAGCATGACCCAATCATATGTCTGACCAGGTGAGCTTTTGAGAGATCAATCATCAAACCTGGCCCACAACTTACGAATACACATGATTGGTAAGTACTCGCCGATTTGATCGGCTTACGCTGATTACTATGGAGCATAAAAGTGGTATGTATACATATATGATAGGATATGCAACGCGGTCGATAACACTGATAATCGAAGGTGCCAGCGAAATTAATGACAGAGCGAGGTAAAGATAAACGGTACAGTACACACACGCGCGGGTGATATAATCGATAAAAGTGCAACCGGTGATTCGACGATTGTGTTATTGTCATTTTCATCGTTTATCTCGATAAGTTGGCATTCTGCCGACATGCTCCGTTCTACCTTTGCGGTTTCACTTCTAAACTGTTTCAACAATTATAGCTAATAATTGTATCAGCGACCGAGCGATAATTGATTTAACGTATCGGATGTCCATCGGAGCGACCATTGGCTAACGGCTCGGGGGCAACGTGATTGTAATGACGTTTCATAATATATGGTAATTTCCCCGTTCGTGTTGCGCGCGCGAGTCGCGATTCTCTCGCGACTTGCATTCGCCATTGGAAACTCCAGGGGACCCCAGTGCAATCACGCAACGTGCAATTTACCGGGATGCGTTGACGTAACAGGCCAGAGCGTCTTTCGGTTGGCTAACACTTTCGTACAGTATGCCGAGATTAGTCCAAGCGGCCGAGTGTGATTTGTCTAATTGAACTGCGCATATGTAGGCCTGTAAGGCATCCATCGGCTGGTTCTGCTGCTGGTAAAGAACTCCTATGCTGCACCATGTATCGGCGTTTCCTTCCGACTTCTCGACCGAATTCCTGTTGAATACGTAAATTCATCGTTCAGTTTCATCCTTGATTACACTGTCTCTTCGATAGAATTAAACTTTGTTCGAAAACCTTCGCACCGAATTCTTGGACTCATTCGACCGACGTATCGAGTTGGAAGATTTGCAAAATTGAAGGTTTTAACTTTCCTGACCTTTTGCCAAAATTCAATTTGATTTTCCACGAAATGTTTCGAATTAGTCTGTCTGATTAGTTTCCGGCGCAGATATTTATTTATTAAAATTTCATCGAATACCCAACAATCAACAATCAGCTTGAGAATTAAGACGCCAAACTAAAAGCGCTAACAAAAGCTTGCACATTGTTGCCTTATACGCATTTCAAACTGATACTCACGTCACTCGTCTAAAGTATGAGACCCAAACTTTCCGTTTCGCTCGTAAATCTTTAGCCCTTTACAGAAATTCGTTCCGAACGAACAACGAATTTTCACGCTTCTAGAGATTTCACTAGAAAAGATCCACGTGAATCCTACCTGTTTGGTGTTTCGGGAAAGATCTCGCTACCATAAAATAACTGACAACGAGGAACGATATTTTACCAGTGGTCCTAGTAAGTAAACGAACGAGTAAATCTCACGAGAAATATGATGGCGCTTAAAAAATATAAGCGCGGTCGTTTAATTTTCCCCCTCTTATGAAGGATATTGCAAAGTCTTCTTGGCACGGGAGTATATGCCAGAGGTATATTTCTGGCGTTTCTTGACTGAATAACTTTGTAAATCGTCAAAGGATTCGCAACACGAGCGAGTGGGATCACTCTAAGCGGGAGATTAATAATGCTGTCGCACGACGACACTGACTCGACGAGATGACTCAACGGCGGGCTGATCTATCTATGCGTATGTAGATAACAGGAAAGACGTCGCGATCCGCATTACCTGTACGCGACGAATGCATCGTGAACTTTTCCGGAGGCTGCCAGGCAACGTCCCAACAGGTAGAGGCTTTGTCCGCTCTTCGGTTCAGCTTCGATGGACCTTTGCAGACAGTGGATAGCCAAGGTTTGCTTCTGCTGTCTCGTTATGCCCAATACTGTGCAGTCAACTACATGGTACATCCATCCTGCAACAAGAAACGCACACGATTGTTCCCCTTCCGTGTGCAGCTACCTCGATGCTAGACCAGCATCGAACTGAATAGATCTTTGAAGGTATAGACCTAGGGTAGGTACATATGCACACTTTTTCTCTCTCCTTCTCTCTCTCTCTCTCTCTCTCTCTCTCTCTCTCTCTCTCTCTCTCTCTCTCTCTCTCTCTCTCTCTCTTTTCTAGCCCGGCTACTGCTCCCTTCTTCAGGGGCTATCTCGAATTACAAGCTCCCTTTAAACATAGGCGTAACCAGCAGCAAGCCACCTAACTTCGCAAAGAGACAGTGGCTGCTCGTTTTGGCGATAGTATATTGTGCGATATATATAAACGAAATCAGAATTAAAATGTTTCATTTCATGGTTTCTTTAGAAACCTTTCCATCTTCCGACACCTGACTCTAGCTCTGCAAAATTTTTTAACAAAATTTCTCTCATATTAGTGTACAATATTGCAATTTCAGAGCATGAAATATGATATGTGAAAAATATTTTTAATTATATCCTCGCGCGCAAAGGATAATAGAAATGTAAATTTACGACTGCCAGTTTTGTAGTTTTGAAACGCGTGTTGCTTTACCTGTTGATAATCCCACGTTTTAATCGTCGTGGGAAAAGCGAAGCGACGCAAGAAAGCTAAAGTCCACCGCGACGCTAAAGAGCGTGACGTTTTGATACGAGGCAGTAGGACAACCAGTGTGATTAATTGATTCGCCACCATCAGTTAATTTGCGTTCGAATAATTGATTATTGTTCAATTATTCATTGTCAGTTAAATGATCAAATTAACGTTGCAATAATGATTGCGATATTCATAACATTCGCGAGAAACGACATGACGCATATAGACCACGGAAATGGATAAATAGCTTGAAAAATTGTTGCGTTACACTTTTCTCGCGCACATGAAACAACATGCCAGTGTGTGCATGTGTGTGTGCATGTAAAAAAAAGAGAGAGAGAGAGAGAGATTAAAGCTGTACAATATTAAAAAAATTTAATTTAGAGTACTCTTTTGTGTGTGCGAATATAATAATCAAATGTATGAAAAAATTTTTTCTACGCTTTTCACGCTAAAATCTACCGCGTTGCTTCCGCAAATCTCGCGCATGTGTTAATTGCATGTTTGGCGTTCAACGGTGGGGAGTAACGTCGTTGCTCTGCGCTTCACTCGACCTTCACTGTTCATTATTCGGCGGAAGATGTGCGTCGAGAGAGTATCCTTCGCCGTACCTCCTTGGAAAAAAAAATGAAAGGCGGAGGAAGGTGACAATACAAAAGTCCCCGAGGAAAGAAAGAGAGAAGTAAGAGAAGGAAAGAAATTATACTCCTTCTCGCCATAAGACGAGTCGCGAATCGAGGTACCGACACGCGAGGAGCCGCAAACAGGTTGTAAGGAAGTCCTGTACCGTTTTCGTGGTCCGGCGTAGCAGAGATGAGCGGTGCATTCGCAAACCGAGCCCAACCGATGCGCCGCTACAATCTCAGGACGCAACGCAGTTCCGTAAAATGCACCCTCCGGGCACGAAACTTTCCTCGAAACGATCCATTATCAACAAACACGCGCGCGCGCACACACACATATACACACACACACGCACACAAACACATGTGCAATTATCGGAAGGATAATTTGTGGAGATACAAAATAATCCCAAACTCAGCCTTTCTTTCTATTCTTTTCCTTCTTCTGCAAATTTTTCTAGCAAATTGCAAATATACGCAGATACGAGAGAATGATAACATATAAAATACAAATTACAATTACCGAATCCTGTTCTAGCGCGGATATTTAATTCGTAGAGCCAAGGGAAAATATCACATCCCCCGGAGACGCTCAAAAGTTTGGCCACGCTCCTCTCTCCGACACCCGGGGTGAAAAAGAGAGAGGGCTGGACGCGTATTCCCGCTGCACCCTGCGATAATCCGCGGTAGTCGACGTACTTTAGGTCGCGGAAGGAGGGAGGAGAAGAAAGAGGGATAGGGAGAAATAGAAGAGCAGGTGCGAGAGAAACAGCTAAGGATAGTTCCCACAACATCCATCTTTCTCTCTCTCCACCCCATTCACACGGCCGTTTTCTCTCCCTCTCTGTCCTTCGTTCATTCACTCACTCACTCACTCACTCACTCACTCACTCTCTCTCTCTCTCTCTCTCTCTCTCTCTCTCTCTCTCTCTCTCTCTCTCTCTCTCGCGCGCGCGCGTCCCGCGGTACCCTCCTCTTTTGCTCTCTCTCTTTCTCTCACTCTCTCTCCGTCTCATCCCCGGTCCACCCCAACTCGGAATAAATCAATACACGTGTCTGCTACTTGGCGTGCACCCGGCCCGAGTACCTTAAGCTGAATCCGTCAGAGAGAGAGAAAGGGAGGGAGGGAGGGAGGGAGGGGAGGAAAGAGAGAGAGAGAGAGAAGCTGAAAGCGCGACGATTTGAAAGAAAAATCACTCTTTTCATTTAACAACCGAGGCGGTTAACAACGGAGATGGCGCGTGCACGTTCCTTTTTTTTCCTTTTTCGTTTATAAAAGCGAGTGCGTGAAATCGCGAGAGTCGGCGCATCGTTTGTTCAAGATGCTAGGAAAACACACACACCTCCACGTATATAATAAAACTTTTTACTGTCGCCGTTGCCTTTTCCTATGTCTCGACTTTTTTCTCTCTCTTCTTCAAAAAATGAGAAACGTCCAACGACTTTTCCTCAGCACGTCCCCGGCAGGGGTTTCTGATCGAAACGGAATGAATTTATTAATCAATCTAATAAATTTATTTGTTCAATCAGATTCGGGATCGCAATTAGCGATACACAAATAAATGTGGATCGTCGGAGACTTACCCAGTTGACGGCAAATGTCAGCCTTCAAATGCGACGGTAGAGCCTTCTCTTTGAGCAAGCCCTCGTAGTGCTCCTTGGCCAAGCGATATTTGCCTTGAACTTCGTGCAAGTGTGCGATATGAAATTTGACTGTAACCAGAAAGGATACACACATCCTCTGTGTTACTCAATAACTCTTGATAATGCGGAAAAAAAAATCAATCGTGGTGAGCTCTCTACACAAGTTTTAAGAGAAAGAAAAAAAAAGAGAGACTAAGCACATTTTCGAAAACTCGTGTTGTTATATCGATGAGAAAGCACGAAACGATACGACACATCGTGAAAAGTCGTGTGATAATTTTTAGGGAAACTCTCAAGCGCCACATAATAGTCCTTTGTCTAAAAAACATAACGAAACGCACTTCCGCTGGTATTTTTAACCATCTCTCGTACAGATCCTGCATTTTCGGTCAAATCAGCCCGAATCTAAACAAACCGTACTCACCTTGTATGAATATACTATGTATAACAAGTGCTTTATAAATATCAAAGCGCAAAATCTGTGCAGAATTTCACAAGAGGAGAAGGCTCGAAAATGCACGTTTCGTTACATCTATCTGCGGGAAGCGTACATAACGACGATACGAGAGTTCACGCGCGACTGTTTAACGCGCATCGTTGCGCGCGCGAGTCTGTCTCTTTCAACTAAAATATATGTACCAATGAAATAAATTCCTGAAAGCCTTTACTTCTCTCTCCCTCGCGGCACAGTTTGTCGTACGTTCAGTCGGACCGACGAATGAATTTATCGGCATGCCGCAAGAGAGGTGGTGGTGACGGGGGGTGTGAAGAGTGCACACAGGCGTTTATGAAGTTGATTCCAATTATCGAGCCACCGAGGCGCGATGAGCACGTGCGCGCGCGAGACTGGCGCGCATGCGACGCGACGCTCGCTATTTAAAAGCGGCGCCGCGTTGCTTCTCCTCGAGCTGGGGAATTTTATTTCCTCCCGCATATGGTACGCGCGCGCGCGCGCGCTCGGAACGGAGAGATTCCCGGTAGTACGATGACAAAATGACTCGAGGAGAGCAGCTACGCGAATAATCTCATTCCAGACCGACAATTTCAAGTCATGAATCAGCGGTGTCATCGTCGTCATTCGAGTGATTCATCCGCGGGAAAGACGATCGCAGCAGCTACACGCGACGTGTAGCTACGAATTTATTCGGCGTGCGTGCGATTGCAGGAAATTTCCCGTATAGCCGTATAGCCGTGATACGTCCACCACATTTCTTCGGGGTTTCGCGGGCTGCTCTGTCGCACAAAGGCTGTACTTTGTACATCCAGCTGTGCGAAGGCGAGCTTACTTACTTTCAAGCTTGGAGAAGGAAGCAGGTGTTGTGGCATCGATCAGGGCGAGGGTCAGGTGCTTCAAGGCGGCGTCGAAGTCAGCGTGGACCTTCAGCATCAAGCCGAGCCGTAGGTGAACTTCGCAGGCCCGTGGGAATCCTGGTTCCACCCATAGCACCTGCTGAAACGCTTTCACGGCC